GGATGCAGACTTACCACCAAGGCAGCCGGTTGCTGCTCAGGAAACGCATCGAAATTTGTACGATCTGCCGGAGTTTAACGGTGCCCCTGAAGAATGGCCAATGTTCAACGAAGCCTTCATTGTGACCACTGCAGAGTATGGTTACAGCGACATGCAAAATTTGATACGCCTTCAAAAGGCTATAAAGGGCAAAGCTAGAGAGACTGTCGAGTGTTTGCTTATTCACAGTTCAAACGTTCCAAATATATTAGAAACACTCAAGCAACATTTTGGTAGACCCGAGAAACTTGTAAAAAGTCAGATTAGTCGCGTTAGAGAATTTCCAAGCATTCGCGAAGGTAGATTGGAACAATTAGTTGATTTTAAAATGAAAGTACAAAATTTGGCCTCATTTCTGGAAGCAGCTAGCGCACATCAGCAGCTAAAAAATCCAACGTTAATGGAAGAGTTAATCTTAAAGTTGCCGGTGCAGCAGAGATTGGAGTGGGCACGCCATTCCAAGCCATTAGGAGATGAAAAATCGATCCATCATTTAAGTCTATGGCTTCAGGGACTGGCCGAAGATGTGCAAGAGGCAGGATTGGTAGATGATCAGGTGACGTTCAAGCCAAGGAAAGAGAAGTCGAGATTATTTCATGCAAATGAAATGGGACCCGAAAAGGAGAAAGCATGCTCAGCCTGCCAGGGGAAACACGACTTGGACAACTGTAAGGTATTCGCGCAGATGGAGCTTCAGAAAAAATGGCTGCATGTACGGGAAGGGAAACTATGCTTTAATTGTCTCAAATATGGCCATCGCAGTCAAAAATGTAAGCGGCAAAACCAATGCCGGCTAGATGGTTGCTTAAAACGTATTCACTGGCTGCTCCACGAAGAATCCGTTAAAAATCCAGACGAGGAAATAAAGTTTACAGGTACAGCGACTCATGAGGAGAACTCGATTATTTTGTTTAAGATTCTGCCTGTCAAACTCCATGCCAACAACAAAATAGTGAGGTGCCATGCTTTCTTGGACGAAGGATCTGCGGTCACTCTCGTGAATGAAACCCTGGCAGACGAGCTAGGGTTGCATGGACCAAAGGAAACCCTGACACTACAATGGTTTGGAGAAAAGAGGTCAACCGAATTAGCAGGTCGTTTCAACATTGGAATATCTGATGAACGTGGTGACAAAGTTTACGAACTAAACGGAGTAAGGACCATAAAGGATCTACGGCTGCCGAAGCAGACCGTAAATAGGTGTGAGCTAAGTTCAAAATATCCACGCATAAAAAATATTCCAGTGAAAGGCTACAAAAACGCTAGACCTGAGATACTAATTGGATTAGATAATCTACATTTGATAGCTCCAAAGCAAATGAAATCTATGGGATATGTGGGGCCAGCCGTTACATTAACCAACCTGGGCTGGGTTGTGTATGGAAAATGTCGCGATGAAAACGGACACATGAACCATGTAAAGGGTGTACATCTGGTTAGGCATGATGACGAGCACATTGAACAATTGGTGCGAGACTACATCACTAACTCGGAAATGGATGTGCGAATCGTGAAGCACCATGTTGAAGGTCGACAAACTGAGAGATCGAATCAACTGCTATCTACCACGACAAAACGTATTGGTGACCGTTTTGAGACGGGACTACTATGGAAAGCGGATGACGTCGTTTTACCTGATAGCAAGAAAATGGCCTTAAAGAGACAACTATCTTTGGAAAGAAAGTTCAAACATGACCCAGAGTACTATGAAAAATACTGCAACTTGATGGAATCATACGAAGAGAAGTCCTACATACGACAACTCGCAAGAAATGAACTGGAAGTGGACAACAAGAGGGAATGGTTCCTGCCCCATTTCGGAGTTATTAATCCTAACAAGCCTGACAAACTACGAATCATTTTTGATGCGGCCGCCGAAGTCGACGGAGTGTCGTTAAATTCAATGCTCATGACCGGGCCCGACGAGTGTCAATCGCTAACCGACGTTCTTATGACGTTCAGGCAGAGACGGATTGGGGTCTGCGCTGACATAGCAGAAATGTTCCACCAAGTCAAATACGAAACGAGGATCGCTGTGCTCAACGTATACTATGGAGAAAAAATCCAGGGGACGAGATGAAGGTGTACGAAATGCAGGTTATGACCTTTGGAGCAAAATGTTCACCAGCTTCAGCTCAATACGTGAAAAATAGAAATGCACTCGACTTTAAGGAATCGTATCCAGACGCCGTGAGCGCCATAATAAAGAACCATTATGTTGACGATCTGGTGCATTGTTTTTCGTCCGAAAAAACGGCCGTGAGGGTTGCGAAGGAGATTGTTGACATTCACAAGAGAGGAGGATTCGAATTAAAAAAGTTTGTATCTAATTCCAGTTTCTTCAACGGGATTTTTGGTAATGAGCAGGCAACCGAACTTGTAAGTCTTGATAGGGACCATTACCAAAAGGTTCTGGGAATGTACTGGTGTACACATAGCGACGAATTTGGGTTCTTGATCTCGTTTAATAAAATTGACGCATCAATATTTTCAGAATCAAGAATACCGTCGAAACGAGAGTATTGCGGTCGTCAGTCTGTGTTTACCCATTTGGAATTCTTGCTGATATTCCCTGACGCTAAGCTTCTCCTTCAGTCAATATGGCCAAACAGAGTGGGACCAGCCCATTGAGGATGATGACCTGAGCAATGGAATTGTTGGTTGCGAAGTCTTGGTCAAATAAGCAAGATAAGAATACCCCGATGTTACGCCGAGGAGTTCTTTGACAAGCCAATCGAACTGCACATATTTTGCGACGCGAGTGAGTCGGCATACGCAGCAGTTGGCTACTGGCGTATACGTAAACAACTGGGATGGAAGACTACATTTATAATGGGGAAGACCAAGTGTGCCCCAATGAAATTATCAACGGTACCCAGACTCGAGCTGCAAGCGGCCGTACTAGGAACTCGTCTGAGGAAATGTATTCTTGAAGGCCATGACGTCAGCCCAAAATGTATCTATATGTGGTCAGATTCGAAGACTGTCTTAGCGTGGATCAAGTCAGATCATTGAAAATACAAACCATACGTAGGACACCGAGTCGATGAGATACTTGAAGCTACAAAGTTGGAGGATTGGCATTGGGTGCCCACCAAGGATAATCCTGCAGAATTTGGCACCAAACTCAGAACTGGTACACGAGAATCCTCCTGGCTGCAAGGCCCACGCTTCCTTCAAGAGGACGGAAACCTATGGGATGTAGGAGCTGCAGACATAGGTGAGACGGAGCTGGAGATGCGCAGCAAGTTCGTACTATCAGTTAATGAGGTGCTCTGTGATGGAACTGTCAACGTAGAGTTCAAGGAGCTTCTGGAGAAGTTCTCGTCATTCACGAAACTGGTGCGAGTTGTTGCTTGGGTTAACAGGATGTGCAACCGCAAGATTAAACGGAAGAGCTATTTAGATGTAGCTGAAATTGAGGAAGCCGAGCTCATAGTGATCCGCAACGTACAGGATGTTGCATTTCATGATGAGCGGATGACACTATTGTCTGGAAAGCCCGTCGAGAACGATAGCAAGCTGTGGAAATTGTCCCCGGCTATAGACGAACGGGGAGTAATTCGCATGAATGGGCGTATAAATAACGCATATGCTGTTGGAGAAGAAACAAGGCGTCCAGTATTAATGCCCCAAGGGAATTACGTCACAGCATTGGTCGTGCAACACTACCACGAGACGTGGAAGCATCAAAATGAGAATACTATAGTAGCAGAAATACGCCGAAAGTATTACATACCGCACTGCCGACAGGAGGTTCGCCGCGCATCTAGGAACTGTCGGACTTGCAAAATCCTAAGAGCAACTCCAAAACCGCCACTAATGGGACAGCTCCCTAAAGACAGACTTTCTCCGTACGTACGCCCATTCTCGTATGTGGGAGTCGATTACATGGGACCGTTTTTAGTCGTAAGAGGAAGAAGTACAGAGAAACGCTGGATATTCACATGCCTTACAATAAGAGCGATTCATTTGGAGATCGCCAGAGACCTGACGACAGATACGTGCCTTCGAGTGTTGCATAACTTCATGGCACGACGTGGTAGACCTGTACGGATCCGATCGGATAACGGGACAAACCTGGTGGGAGCTGAGCGTGAATTAAAAGAAACATTGCAGGTCTGGACCATGTGAAAATAGCGAATGAGTTGGCAACCGAAAAAATCGAATGGCTATTTAATTGCCCGCTTAATCCCCATGCAGGAGGGTGTTGGGAACGATTGGTGCGAAGCGTGAAGAGGGCCATCGGACACGCATTATTTGAGAAAAATCTGAAAGAGGACATTTTATATAGCCTAATGTGTAACGCTGAAAATATAGTCAATTCTAGACCGCTCACACACATTGCTCTGGATGATCCCGATGACGACCCGATAACCCCTAATCACTTTCTCCTAGGTTCTGCCAATTCTAGCCAAACACCACATCCACAAGAAGAGAAGTACCAGCCAACACGAAAGGACTGGCGTATTGCTCAGCAGATCTCACACTCATTTTGAAGCAAGTGGCTCAATGAGTACCTACCGGACTTATGCAGAAGGACGAAGTGGTATCAACCGGTGCCACCACTGGCTGAAGGAGACGTCGTTCTTATCTGCGATAAGAATCTCCATCGACACCAATGGAAAAAGGGAATGATCCTTGCAGTTACAGCTGGACGCGACGGACAGGTTCGCTCAGCAACTGTGAAGACGACCACTGGAGTTCTCAACAGCCCAACTTGTATGCTGGCAAAGCTAGATGTATTGTGAATCACAAGCGGGTTTGATTCACGGTGGTGGGGATGTTGTGAAGAATCTCATTATTATTATTATTTGTATTTTTAATATTTACTAATTAGTCAAAATCCTGAATACCATTATTGTTAACATAATTAATGTAAGAGAAAAATGGTCACACTGCCAATAAGAGAAAAATGGCCACACTAAGTATGATCGATAGTCAGTCGAGAGCGTAAAAGAAAACGAAGCGTATGTAAGCAGAGTAGTGGACATTTTTTGGTATTAACATTGAATATATTCCTAGGAAATAAAACACACATATAACCACGGCATTCAAGGTTGTAGTTTTATACGCATAACGCTAAGGAACCAACAATACCTATAAACACATATATATTTATTGCCATATATTCATACATTTATTCCCATAGTTGGCCGCAATATATCGCCCGCCAACTATATACAAAACAGAACTCCATACAAAAAATACCACTCCCCGTAGAAAAATACCGCACTCCATACTACACACATACTCCGCGCAAGTGCCGTATTTAATATAAAATTCGTGATTTCGGGCAATTCGTGTATTCCAACGACTTTTATCGATCGCTACCACAATTCCAACCTGTTCCACTTTCCAAATAAATTGCTCGCGACCAAGGCACGGCGCACTAATAGTAATTATTTGGCAATTTCCACTGCCAATTGGCAAATTGGTGTTTCGGTCCTTTGTTGTTGTTTTTTTTGTTCCGTGCATCAGAGGTGGCGCAATCCAAAAATATCGGTATCGTAACCGAGTCTTGCGTTCGACCGAAAATAAATTAATAAAAAATAAAAATACAATTTCCAAACAAACACACCGACACCACAAGAAATAAATTAAACGATCCACGATTTCTTATTTAAACCGTTTCGTCCTCCTTTTTCCGATATTTTCTGTTTTCCTTCGGTATTTCTCCCGATAGTTCTCCAGCGCCCACTCCGCAGTCATATTCTTGACTGTAGCTTCCGGTAACGCTTACGGCGACTAGGTTTATCTGCACTTTGTCGATCCAAACCGACATCAAGAGAAAACTATCGCCCATTCCAATCAACTATCGAGGATATAAATGCCATTCCGTCCGCCGTTCATTCGCAAATAACCCAGTTCTGATCACGACTGCGTCAAAGAGGTAAACGGAGGAGCCCGCACTAACAATATTTGCAAAATATTGCCAAAATCAGTGTAGCCGGTCCTCTCCTCGGCTCAGCGCAATATAAGTCACTCATTGTTTGAGAAATTTCACTTCACCGTGATCTCAAACAATCCGAGTCGACCCGACTATTGTTTTCCAACAAGCTCGAGGCCTTTTTCCTGACAGCCTTCCATAAGTGGGTTATATTTGTTTTCTGGCGTCTTTCTGTTGGAATTCCACTCAGATCAGTCTTCTGTCCCTCCAGGACTTCCAAATCCGATTTTCTGTGCGTGTGTGAGTTCGGAATATGCCAACAGGTCACAAGGACGGCAACCAGCTTCTGCCTGTGACCTCTTCCAACCGGCTACGCACCTCGTCCGCCTCTGGAACTACGCCGACTCAGAAAATCAAGGCACCCCTCACTCCGAGAGCAGCCAGTAGCAGCCCTGCGGCAAGGACCAAATCGGTTTTGTTCCCGTCTCCTGTCACTCTTAAGGTTCCAGCTGTGACCAAACAAGATCCGAAGGGCTCCTTCGTCAACAGCCCCGTCAGCTCTCGCCACTGTATCACAATGGCTCAATCCGCCACCTCAGTCGCTCGGACCAGATTGGTCGCCGCTATTGGCCGATTGATGCACCTGGCAGAGCGCATCACCGCCGCCCCATCCGCCTCTCTGTCCGAGGTCCGTCGTGGCCAAATCCTCAGCATGTGGACGGACGTCGAGGCCGAATATAAGGCCTGCTCCGCGGTGATGACGGACGAGGAGCCAGAAATCCAAGTGGACATCCGTGACACATACGGCGAATTCTATGGGGTATTTGAGCAGTGTCTCAGTGACCTCAATGCCCAACTGGCTACATCCACAGTCCTTCCTCCTTCACAGCCAGCCCAACAGGGCGGCTGTCGACTGCCTCCCGTCAACATTGAGGCATTCTCCGAGGACTACGTCCACTGGCCCACATTCAGGGATTTGTTCACTGCGGTCGTGATCAACAATCCTAGATTGTCTCCGGTAGAGAGGCTGTATTACCTCACCGAGAAGACCCGGGGCGATCCGAAGGCCATCGTAGAGAAATCCCCCCTCACTAATGACGGTTTCGAGTCCGCATGGTTGGCTCTCCGCAGCCGATACGAAAATAATCGGCTTCTGGTGACCAACCAAATCAACATCCTCCTTTTTTTGCCCCGCGTAACATCCGAATGCAGTCGTGCCTTGAAGGATCTTCAAAGTACGATGCAAGGAGTTCTAAATGCGCTAGCAGTCTCCAACGTCTGCACGGACAACTGGGATAGTCTGCTTGTCACCATTTGCGCTTCCAAATTGCCGAAGTTGAGCCGGGCGTTGTGGGAATCGTCCGTAACGGACAAAAAAGAGGTACCGCCCTGGACGGAAATCGACTCCTTCCTCACTCAGCGCTATCTGACTCTCGAGGCTATTGAGAGCGACCCTTCCACCTCCCGAGGGGCTCCGAATCCGCCTCCCTCCAAGGGCGTCCAAAATCCACCCACCTCTCGCAACCACTCCAATCCATTCCGTTCGCAAGGCAGTCCGACGCCAAACAAGGTTCACTCGTTCAATACCCAAGTGAGTCCGAAGAAGCGAACGTGTGACCTCTGTTCCAAAGAGAATCACCCGATTTGAGTTTGTCCCCGCTTTCTCAACATGTCCGTTGATGCACGTTCCAGCTGCATTAAGAAAAAGCAGCTGTGCTTAAATTGCTTCGCAAGAGGTCATCTGCTTCGCGACTGCTCCAGCAGCCACAATTGTTCCACTTGTGGGGCCAGGCATCACACGCTTCTGCATCGTGCCGCTCCTTCATCCAACGTAGCGGCTTCGACTTCCGCCCAAGCCCCCAGCTCATCCGAACCTCAGCAAAACGTACAGAGCTTTTTCGCCTCCAGCACAAGTACCGTTCTTCTGGGCACGGCACTCATTAATATTTGTCACCTGGGGACCAATTTCCGTGCCCGCGCACTGATTAACTCAGGCTCCGAGGCGACGTTCATCACTGAACGTCTCTTTAACATTATTAAGCCACCGTTCGAAGCCATACAGGCTCAAGTCGCAGGTTTAAACCAAACCGTAGCGGCTAAGGCGCAAAGGCGCTGTCACTTCATGATCGGGGCCGCCTCCAGGCCTGGCCTAAAAATCGAGACCATGGCATATGTTCTGCCTCAATTAGCAGGTAACCTTCCCTCGTATCCGATACCGCAGCACTTTTTGGACAAGCTTCCAAATCTCCCGCTGGCAGACCCCTCCTTCCACCGAAGCTCGCAGATTGATGTGCTTTTAGGCGCTGACATCCTCCCTTCTATCCTGTTGAGCGGCTTCCGGTCTGACATTTGCGGCTCGCTGCTAGGACAAGAGACCATCTTCGGATGGGTCCTATCCGGTCCGGTATCAGCTGACTCGACTCGGACGGTTTCCGCCTTCACCACGAAGCTCTCGTTAGATTCGGACGTCCGACTCGAGAAGCTTCTCACCAAATTCTGGGAGGTGGAGGACCTTCCGGGGAAACCGACGAGTGAGTCAGATTCGGTGTGCGAGGAAAACTTCCGCAAGACCACTAAACGAGCCCCCAATGGGAAGTATATTGTTACTCTCCCTTTCAAGTGTCCAGAAAATGTCGATCTAGGACACTCCAGGTGCGCGGCACAGACCCAGTTCCTTAAAAACGAGCAGCGTCTGCAGCGGAATTTGCCGCTCAAAGAGCTGTACGACGCCGTTATCCAGGAATATTTTGAGCTAGGCCACATGACTGCGGTTACACCCAGTCATGACTCCGGCCATTACTACCTTCCACATCACGCCGTGTTTAAACCCGACAGCACCACAACCAAACTGCGCGTGGTCTTCAACGCCTCCAGCCCGTCTTCCAACGGGAAAAGCCTCAACGACACATTGCATTCGGGGCCAGTCCTTCAGTCTGACTTGACTATGCAAATCCTGAGGTGGCGAGTCTTCCGCTATGTCTTCAATGCCGACATCAGCAAGATGTACCGCCAGATCCTAGTGTCTTCCCAACACACGCCCTATCAGCGAATACTCTTTCGCGACCGTACTGGAAACGTGTGTGACTACGAGCTGACTTCCTAGAGCTTGACGAAAGTAGCATCGCTAAGACATTGGGGATCCGATGGCAAGCCAGTGCCGATGAATTCTTCTTTGCTCCTCCCGAAGTACTTCAGCGGGAGTCCTGCACGAAGCGCAATGTGCTATCGCAGATTGCGCAGCTGTTCGATCCAGCGGGATGGCTTGCCCCCTTTGTCATCCAAGCCAAAATGTTCATGCAGGAAATTTGGCTAAGAGAGTTAGGGTGGGATGACGTCCTCCCTAGCGATCTATCTCACACCTGGGAGACGTTCCTGAAGAGTTTTCCGGCCATCCAGGATATCCGCATTCCGCGGTGGTTGCACGTTTGTCCAATGGCCAAGGTGCAGATACATGGCTTCTGCGACGCGTCTCAACGTGCCTATGGGGCAGCGATTTACATCCGAGTTGAGCGACCGCAGGGCATTGTCTGTGCCCTTCTCACAGCTAAAACCCGCGTGGCCCCCGTGACACCGGGACACCAGCCAAGTATCCTTCTGGACCGATTCCACGATTGTGTTGGCCTGGCTGAACCGACCTGCATGCGATTGGACCACTTTCGTGGGCAATCGAGTAGCCAAAGTCACTAGATGTTGGCCCAGCGAGCGATGGAGCCACGTCCGATCCGAGGACAATCCGGCCGACCTGGCCAGTCGAGGGCTAGGACCCTCTGACCTGGTTGGAAGTGATATGTGGTGGCATGGCCCTGCTTGGTTGCGTAGTCCAAAATCAGAGTGGCCATGTCCGCGGGACTCAGTCCTTGAGACTGACCTGGAGAAGCGAGTCGCCAAGGTGCACCATGCCACCAGCAGCGCCTCCGACATCCTAAGCCGTTTTTCCGACCTCGGGCGCGCTCTGCGCGTGATCGCCTACGTTCGGCGGTTCACTCAGCGAATTAAAGGGCAGACGACCCATGTCTCCAAGGAGCTGAACGGAAATGAGGTCGCTGCTGCTCTCCAGGCGGTCACACTGACAACCCAACGCTTCCATTATGCTGGGGAGCATCGGGGCCTGCTAAACAAACAGCCACTCCCTACTACGAGTTCTCTTCTGAATCTTAATCCGTTCCTTGACCAGAACGGAGTCATGCGGGCATGTGGCCGAGTCCAAGCCTCGGCGTCCATGTCCTACAACGAACGGCATCCAATCCTGTTGCCACCCGCATGTCTCCTGGTTCGCCTGCTGGTTCGATTCACCCATCATATATCGCTACATGGTGGGAACCAGCTGGTCATTCGCCTTATCCGGGCAACATACTGGATCCCTCGACTACGTCACATAGTGAGGGCAGTGATTCATTCTTGTAAGGTCTGCGTCCTCCATCGTAAACGACTCCAAACCCAACTAATGGGTGACCTTCCTGCATCACGAGTCACATTCTCCAGACCGTTCACATACACCGGAGTTGACTTCGCCGGCCCCTTCGACGTTAAAAACTTCACAGGTCGCGCCTGTCGCATCTCAAAGGGGTATGTGTGCGTGTTCGTCTCCTTTTCCACGAAGGCCATCCACTTAGAGGCCACGTCCGACTTATCCACCGACACCTTCCTAGCCGCCTTCGCTCGTTTCGTTGCGAGACGAGGGTGTCCTCATGAAGTTCAATCCGACAACGGAAGGAATTTTGTCGGCGCGTCCCGCTCTCGGGCTGTGGATCTTCTCGAGGCACTTCGCACTCGGACTTCTGCGGTGTACAGCCAGCAGGGGCTATCGTGGCGGTTTATCCCTCCCGGAGCCCCACATATGGGGGGCTTGTGGGAAGCAGGTGTGAAGAGCTTCAAGGCTCTGTTCCAAAGGTCGATGTGTACGTCCAAATACAAATTAGAGGAGTTAACTCGTGACCAATCTCTCCTATGTCTGAGGATCCAACGGATCCGTTGGCCTTGAGCCCAGGCCATTTCCTGATTGGTGGTCCGCTACTATCCGTGGCAGAGCCAGAAATACAAGCGAGCGCCTCCTTCATCCTAAACCGCTGGCAACATCTCAAGGCTCTCAACCAGCAATTCTGTTCGCGCTGGAAGACAGAGTACCTGCGAGAGTTGCACAAGCGCAACAAATGGCAGCATCTGACAAGAGACCTCGAGGTTGGAGACCTCGTGGTGATCAAGGAGGAGAACATCCCCGCTCAGGAATGGCGTCTCGGCCGTGTGCAGAACGCGTATCCTGGAGCCGATGATAAGGTCCGTGTGGTAGACCTACTCACGGCCCGCGGCCTTATCAAGAGACCGATCACGAAGGTGGTTCTGCTGCCTATGGAATCGGATGTCCTGTCCACCTACTCGCGCGGAGGCTCCGATTCATAAGCCTTCGTCCTTTGTTCTGTTTAAATCCAACGTAGTTATCCGTACCCGTATCCGTATCCGTATGCCAACCCATGCCAGCTGTTTACTAATGCTCCGGTGATTCCTTTCTTCATCCTAGTTTTTTCCAGAAGGCAGCTATGGCCCCTCAAACCTCATCACGTTCCCGATCCAGCCGCAGGTCGGATCGCTCACGGGCACGAGGAAAGACTTCCTTCCAGTGTCGAGTGTGTCCCGGAGTTCACCCGCTGAGGAACTGCCGGAAGTTTATCCGGTTGAGCGTCGAGAAGAGGCTCCGAGCCGTACTCCTGCATCGGCATTGCTCGAACTGCCTGGCTCACGAGCACTCGGGCAAGGACTGCCGCAGTGGAGACCTATGTAAGGTGTGCTCCCGGAACCACCACACTCTGCTCCACCTGCCCGGGTCTCGGCGCCCTACTGGCTCCTCTTCGGCTCCGTCGACTTCACCTCCGTCTCGGCGTCCTGCTGGCTCCTCTTCGGCTCCGTCGACGTCACCTAAGTCTTCCCGCGCCAACCCACGCCCTCGTCTTCCGGTCAGCCGCCCTGTCGTTGGAAATCCGGTCCCGACAGCAAACTCCTTGCTCCAGCACCAGAGCATCAACGTCCTCCCGACGGCGATGGTGGTCCTCGCAGGCACTCAGGTGATGAGTGCGCTGATCGACCCCTGCACGCCGGTCAGCTGCATCGACGCCGAGGTGGCTAGGGAGCTGAAATTGCCCACTACCTGCATCGGGGACGAGCGGGTGTGCACAGCCATGATCCGGGCGAAGATAGGAGATTTTAAAGTGGAGGCAGTCTTCAAAATCGAGCCCCGTCTGCGCGTCCGTACGCCGATCCGTCAACTGAGCGACACCGTCCGTGCTCGTTTCGACGACTTGAGGTTGGCCAACGAGCAATTCCACAAGCCGACGACCATCTCGCTCGTCTTGGGTGCGGACTTGTATCCCAGGGTCATCCAACCTGGGTTCCTCGCCCGCGCAGACGGCCTTCCCGTGGCGCAAAGCACGGTGTTTGGGTGGATCGTGTCTGGTGCATGCACGCAGACTTAAAAAAAAATCTTTGCATTCCTGCAAGGGGGGGGAGAATGTTCAGAGTGAGGATGGCGCTGGCGGGGCAACCGCTTTGTGGGCATTCCAGCCACACATCGCTGTTAGCGTTCCAGCTACACAAGCGGTCGCCCTCGCTCTCGCCCTCGTACTTAAGAGCATTTTTCCCCCCGGCGACGCGCTCTCGCGCGCATATTCACCACGTTTGCGCTCCCGCCCACGCTCACGCTCACGTTCCCGCTCTCGCGTCCGACAGCCCTCGGCAGCTTGAGCGCCACCGATCTCAATTCAATGCGCTTCTTCACCCACAAGCAAACGGTTTTGCACGCGAGACATATATATGTACATTACTTAAGCCTACGAATCAACCTGAAATATATACTGAAGAAACTTGGACCTGCCTCTTGTATTTATCTGTGGGAATTCATCTGTGGAACCCCGAAAGCCCCTTCGCTCAATCACGGCTATGATTAACATATGCCACTTGGGCACCAGTCTTAAAGCACGTGCATTGATCGATTCTGGATCGGAAGCAACGTTCATCTCCGAACGTCTGTTCAGAATTATCAAGCTTCCTTTCCAACCAATTCAGGTTCAAGTAACGGGCTTGAGCCAAGCAATTTCAGCCAGGCCTCAGAAGATATGCCACTTCCAAATAGGCTCACCATCAAAACCGAGGATCCACATAGAAACCTCGGCCTACGTACTCCCAAATGTGGCAGGCACCTTACCCTCGTACCCAGTTCCTCAAGGTTTTGTAAAGGACCTGCCAAACATTCCTCTTGCTGACCCTTCTTTCTATAAGAGCTCGCAGATAGATGTGCTCTTAGGTGCAGATATCCTTCCATCAATTTTACTAGGCGGCTCCCAACCCAACATTTGCGGCTCGTTACTCGGTCAGGAGACCATATTTGGATGGATCCTCACAGGACCAGTAGCTGAGTCAACTCGCCCCTCAATTTCTTCCTTTGCTACAAGGGTAAAGGTCAGCACAGAACAGCGTTTAGAAAAACTTCTAACGAAGTTTTGGGAGGTGGAGGATCTTCCAGCCGTGATGGCAGAAGAGTCTTCTGATTCCGTCTGTGAAGACAATTTCATTCAAGCTACTCGTAGAGATTCAAGTGGCAGATATATGGTTTCATTACCCTTTCGAAATCCTGAGTGTGTCGACTTAGGCCATTCAAGATCAATCGCGCTGGCTCAGTTCCTCAAAAATGAAGGCCGTTTACAACGGAACCCACCTTTAAAAGAGCAGTACGACAGTGTCCTCCAGGAGTATGTAGACTTAGGTCACATGCGACGAGTACCTCCAAGCAATGACTCTGAGAACTTCTATCTGCCCCATCATTCTGTCCTTAAACCAGACAGCACCACTACAAAGTTACGGGTAGTATTTAACGCCTCCAGTCCATCTTCAAATGGCAAGAGTCTTAACGACATCCTACATCCAGGACCGGGTTTCCAATCAGATCTGACCATTCAGATACTGAAATGGCGTTTCTTCCAATTCGTTTTTAATGCTGACATCACAAAGATGTATAGGCAAATCACCCTCGAGCCAACGCAGACAAGGTTCCAAATAATCCTTTTCCGGAACAAAGAGGGCGAGCTCGGGGACTATGAGCTTACAACTGTCACTTTCGGTGTGAATTGCGCACCGTACTTAGCTATTCGCGTGCTCAAGAAACTTGCTCAAGATGAGCGGGAGATATACCCACTGGCAAGCGACATCATATCCGATTCCATGTATGTTGACGATGTGCTTGCTGGCGCGCACACAGAGCAGACGGCCATTGCAGCGATCAAAGAGCTTCGCTCCGCTCTAGATAGTGCCGGGTTTCCGTTGAGGAAGTGGACTTCTAACTCGAAGCAAGTCCTTCAGGACATTCCTACGGACCATTTACTGTGCGCCGATTTCCTTGAAATGGAGGATTCCAGCTCTGCAAAAACATTAGGTATCCGGTGGCAGGCTCAGAGTGACGAATTCTTTTTTAAACCATCCGAGGTAGACCTAGGTTCCTCATACACGAAAAGGGAGGTCCTATCCCAAATATTGAAATTATTCGACCCAGCGGGATGGCTGGCTCCGTTTGTAGTCCGAGCGAAAATCTTTATGCAGGAAATCTGGCTTAAAGAGCTCGGATGGGATGACTCTCTGCCAACAGACCTCCTCCAAAAGTGGCGAGACTTTCTTCTCAGCTATCCCGCTCTCCGCGAGATTCAGATACCAAGGTGGGTACAGTATCACCCCAGGGAAAAACTGCAGTTCCACGGGTTCTGTGATGCATCCCAACGTGCTTTTGGTGCCGCAATCTACGTTCGTGTAGAACGTGACCGAGAGGTCTCTGTCCATCTACTCACAGCGAAAATCAGGGTAGCTCCTGTGAAGACCGTGTCCTTACCTCGTTTGGAACTATGCGGGGCGGTACTTCTTGCTGAGCTGTCCTCGTCGCTCCTTCCTCAACTGTCCATTGATAGCTACGAGTGCTTTTATTGGACAGACTCCACCATCGTGTTAGCTTGGCTGAACAAGCCACCATGCAAATGGACAACGTTTGTGGCTAACCGAGTGACTAAGATCACGCAGTCCGTCAGCCCGGGGAAATGGTCTCACGTAAGATCGGAGCACAATCCGGCTGACTTAGCGAGCAGAGGGGTTTCCGCCCAAGATCTGGCTAGCAGCGATCTATGGTGGCACGGGCCAGAATGGTTGCAGTTGAGCCCAGACCAATGGCCCATCCCAGTCGAACCTCTGCAAGAGACAGACGTATAACAACGTCCTGTCAAGTGTAACCTGTCTCAGTCACCACCAGATTCCAATTTTCTAGCCCGCTTCTCAGAGTTCGGAAAGGCCCCGAGAGTCCTGTCCTATGTTTTTAGATTCCTCAAGCGTTGTCAGACGCCGGACACCCAATTTCCAGACGAGCTCAGTAGCAACGAGCTATCCGATACACAAGAGCGGATGACCATCCATACTCAGCGCTTAGAATATTCCAACGAATTCCGGCACTTGCTAAATAAGCAACCTCTTCCTACGTCTAGCTGCATCATTAACTTAAATCCATTTATCGACCAACACGGGGTCATAAGAGCATGCGGTCGTGTGAGAACATCGGAGTCCCTAAGCTATGATGAGAAGCACCCGATCATTCTCCCGTATTCAAGCGCATTTACACGTCTCCTCGTTCAGTTCACTCATCGCATCGCACTGCATGGGGGGAACCAATTAGTGATGCGGCTCATCCGAGCCAAATATTGGGTTCCGAAAATACGGACCTTAGTGAAAACAACGATAAACTCCTGTAAGGTCTGTGTGGTCCATCGCAGAAAGTTGCAAACCCAGCTTATGGGATACTTGCCCGAAGAGAGGACAACGTTCTCTAGTCCATTCACTCGTACAGGTGTCGACTTCGCTGGACCATTCGAGATCAAGACGTACGCAGGTCGAGCTTGCCGCATCACCAAAGGGTATGTGTGTGTCTTCGTGTGCTTCAGCACGAAGGCGATCCATTTGGAAGCAACCTCTGATCTCACAACCGAAAAGTTCCTCGCAGCTTTTAATCGGTTCGTAGCAAGGCGAGGTTGCCCTCAGAAAATGTGTTCCGATAATGGGAAGACGTTTGTCGGAGCTGAAAAAGCCCTTTCCCACGATTTCCTGGTCGCCACCAGAGCAAGTGTTCTTGCAGCATATCCGCAGCAGCACCTCACGTGGCGCTTTAACCCTCCAAGCGCACCTCACATGGGCGGCCTGTGGGAAGCGGGTGTGAAAAGTTTCAAGACGCTTTTCTACAAGTCTACCTCAACTTGGAAGTATACTTTCGAAGAACTGTCGACCCTCCTTTCCAAAATCGAAGCGTGCTTGAATTCGCGGCCCATTTCCCCTATGTCAGAAGATCCAACTGACCTTCTAGCCCTAAGTCCAGGCCACTTTTTGATTGGCGGCCCGCTGGTTTCAATTGCGGAGCCAGAAATAAAAGAGAACGCAGAGTCCATCATCAACCGATGGCAGCGTCTAAAGGCCCTTAATCAGCAGTTCTGTTTCCGTTGGAAGGAAGAATATCTGAAAGAGTTGCACAAACGAAATAAGTGGCAACTTCCAACTCGAAACCTCCAAACAGGCGATATGGTTGTCGTAAAGGAAGATAACCTGCAGCTAAGTGAATGGCGCCTAGGAAGGATTGAACGAACCTATCCCGGGGTCGATGGCATGGTCCGCGTGGTCGATGTTTTAACTATCCGTGGGACCATTAAGCGGCCAGTAGCAAAGCTCATCCTTCTTCCTGTAGAGAGCAATGTCCACGTCCAAGTATCCAATTAGCTAATGTGTTGTTTGTTGGCCGGTGCATAAGATCCAACCACTAATCTTCCACATCTTTTCTTTCCAAGCATGACTCCTCGTCGTCGTCCATTAACGCGCAGCCAGCCCAGAGGATCGGACTGTTTTCGCTGTAGGGTCTGCCGTGGAGTCCATGCTCTACGCAAATGCCAGCGGTTCCTCACGCTAAGTGCCGAAAAGCGTTTACGGGCAGTGATCATTAATAAGTACTGCCACAATTGCCTGGCCCACCAACACTCAGGGAGCTCATGCCGAAGCGGCGACACGTGCCGGGTTTGCGGGAAGAACCACCACGCTCTTCTTCACCTAGGGGGATCACAGCGGACTCCACGTCCTAGGGCTCGCTCGACTGGGCCGAAGGCAAGCTCGCCCACAGCGAGATCGCGCTCCAGATCCGCTGCTCCTCCAACGACGCTGACATCGCTCCTTCAGTCCAGGAGCACTAGCGTCCTCCCAACAGCAGTGGTTGTGATCGACACGGGCCTCAAGACGTTCGAGGTGGGCTCTCTAATTGATCCGTGCAGTCCAGTCAGCCGCATCAACGCATCCTTGGCAACGGCCTTCGGGCTTTCCGTCACTCGCGTTGGTGCGGAAGGTGCTTGCACCACCTTCATCCTTTCTAAGGTGAAGAGCGATGTCAGGCTAGAGGTGGTCCTGACGGTGGAGACTCAGCTCCAGATACGAACACCGACGAGACCCTGGG